ATATAAATTAGACTCCCTTCCGCCTTTTCCCAGCTAGTTTGGTTCTGTCAGCCTTCTAAGCCACAGGTCCTGGCCAGCACTTGGCCCCGGAGGCTCTCCCTCCTCTTCCCCACGGTTTTCTACTCCAATGCAGTGCGTGCGGGGGGCGGCCCTTGCCCGCGGGCTCCTGTGACTCAGCCTGCAGCCACCTGGTGCTGCCCTTCATGCTCCTGATCAGCCTGGGTGCAGCCATGGCTAGTGTTACCCACACTCCCTCCTTCATGCTCATCCTAAGGTGAGAGCAGGGATGGGTCAGAGCTGGTGGACACCAAGAGGTCCTTACCCACAGGCAGGACAGGAATCCCGAGGGAGGAGTCTGAAGAAGGAGGGGTGGGCCGCCACAACACAGCAGGCTCCCACTGTCCTGTCTTCATCCTCATGGCAACCTGCTGAGATGAAGTTTTCTCCCATCTTACAGATAAGAAAACTGAGGCTCAGAGCAATTCAGAAGCTAACCCACAGGTCATGTGACAAGTGTTGGGTAGCAAGCCCAAGCCCCTACCTGCCCCAGGGGAGGGGAGGCCACATCCAAGGCCCTGCTTTTGCCTCCCAGTCACAGGGGGGAGGAAGTGGAGGAGTGTTATCTGACTCCTCACCCTAACCCTATCTGTCAGGGGTGGGCCACAGGAGTGCATGCAGAAAACCGGATGTTATCAGTGTGGTCCATGATTCTGAACACCACTCCGACCAACAAGCACCTAAGGGCCCACTGTGGAACCAGCCCAAGATCCAAGATCTTCCTGGCTATTGTCCTGAGGATGCCTGAGGGACCGACAAATTGTCTCCTGAGGCCAAAGTCAGCAGCTCCCAGGGTGGGGGTGCAATAAAGGGACCTCATAGAAGGATAATTCCAATTCCCATTATGCTGGGATTATTTTATTCCCTGTTTGTTTTCTAGAAAGTTAGAATGGGGATGGACCCCCTTACAAATATTAGAAGGCATGTAGATCCATAAAATAGTCTGGCCACAAGAGAGAAAGCAGAGGAATCGGATACCCCAGCAGGCAGCCTGCGTATGAGGAGTTAAGGCAGGCAACGTGCTGCACAAATTCTAACTCCTGAAACCATCAGCCGTGGGATCTCCGCCAAGTCACTTAGCCTGTCCAAGACGCTGTCAGTCTCCTTATCTGTAAAATGGGGCTAAGGATACACCTACCTCATGGGGGTGAGGATGGGTTTGCAATAGAGAATGAGTCCTTCATAATTGCCAGTTGCTGGTACCACTTAGGAGAGGAGCCAGTGCTTCTCAGGGCGTCTGGGCCATAGCCTTACCGTGGTTGAGGGAGTTAGAAGGCATGTCTGGCTGCCCAGCTCCAGGTTTTGTCCAGTGTATGAGGAAGGGGAGAATTTGGTGGAGCCAGGGGATAGGGATGGGAGGTATCTGTGACCAGGAACATAGGGAAGTCAGCATAGGACCCTGACAGTCAGTGGCTATGCCTGGTACACGGGGATCAGGCTCTGCAGGTTGGTCACAAATGGAGTATAGAGCCTGAGGTCCCGGCCCCATCCCACCCAAGGGCCTTGAGACGGGGGAAGGCTGGCATTGGGTGGCGGGAGAGAAGGAATGTGAGAGCCCCTTGAGGGCTGGACCCCTCTCGATCCTCATGTCACCCCTTTCCCTTCTTGTCAGGGGAGTGAAGAAAGAAGACAAGACTCTGGCTGTGGGAATCCAGTTCATGCTCCTGAGAGTTTTAGGTAAAGAACCTCTGGTCCAGACACTCACTGTGTATGGGGGCTGGGGGCACAGGGATGAGTGAGACCCAGTTCCTGGCCTTGGGGTTCACTGGCCCATGGATAAGCAGATCCAACCCAGGGACCTGCAGGTGGGTGTATCAGCAGCTGGACAGCCCAGCAGGGAGATAGCATCTGATATCAGGGTGAGGGGTGGGCTTGAGGGCCAAGGACAGATGGGCCCAGAGGCCTCCAGTGGCTCAGAGCCCCTGAGGGTGTGTATACCAGGGAATAGGGGGAGGGGGTACAGGAATGCCAGGTCCGTTGTCCCCTGAGCACCTCCTCCTGCAGCCTGGATGCCCAGTCCTGTGATCCACGGCAGTGCCATCGACACCACCTGTGTGCACTGGGACTGGAGCTGTGGGCGTCGGGCCGTCTGCCGCTACTATGACCATGACCTGCTCCGAACTCGGTGAGACCTGGGGTGGGAGCTGTCAGGGGATTGTGGGAAGGGTGCTGAAAGTACTGGGGGGGCGGGGTTGCCAGGCAGGACACCAGCAGGAAAAGTTCTGCTGGTGACAGTTGCTATATCCAGTCCTGTGATCTAGATACTGTCTCCCCCTTTATGGAAAAGTGAGTGTTAAAGTGGCCCAAAGACACAGCTGGTAACTGGCGAAGCTGGCCTTGAACCAAGCCATCTGATGGCAGTCCGTGCAGGAACATGCATCGTCATGGCTGAGTGTGGGGGAACCAGGGAGCAGCCCAGTTGTGAGAGAGACAGGAAATTGAGGTGGGGTAGGAAAACGGCCTTCTCATATAACACTGGAGGCCCGCAATCTGGGCCCAGCTCTTTCTTCTCATTGTGAGACCTGCCTTTTGGGGGGCTCAATCTTCCTACCTGTACAATGGGAAGACCAAAGGAACCTGAAGGCAG